ATTCTGATCTGATAATTCAACCAGTCGGAGCCAGCAATGACGATCTAATGCCAGCAGTCAAAGAATTTAACGCCCTCTAAATCTCCCTCTCTACCAACAACCCAAATTCCCTAACCCTGTAGGGTTAAAATTTATAAAAACCATTATATACACGCACATAGAAAAATTGATGATAAACGACGCAGGTATAGATTTCAAGGGATTATCCTCGCTCGCTCCGCTCGCTCAATAAATAGTAAAGGATTTGGGGCAAAATTAAGAACCTAAAACCGCAAGAGGCTGAAAAATGGCTTTTAATTTTAATTAGCACCTGGATATAGACTTTTCTAGGACTTTTTTCTTATAATTTTAAACCAAAATTAAGTCTCCTATAAAATTATACTCAAAACTAAAAATAAAGCAAAATTATAATAACAAAGTCCTATAAAAACCTTATGCGATTTATTTATCACCAACTTACTCACCAATTATTTAATGAGGAAGGGGAAATAACCCCTACTAAATATGATGAAAAAGGCCATCCTTATTGAGTATGACCGGACAGCAAGCAACATTGACTTAAATGTCATTTATATTCTAATAACGGACGAGCAAAAAGGATTTTTTATAAAAATATTGACCGCTATTATAGGCAAGAATTTACTCGTTCCTATTCTAGGAGGCGAAAAATTATCACTTTTGATTTAGGAGATAGGCAAGAAGTTATTAAGCAAGTATGAGGTTGAGAATTAAAAATTAAACCTAAACAAAGGAAGAAATAGACCATTCTGTAATTGTCTTATTGTCGTAGACTAAATAATTAGTAAATAATAACTAAATTATTATTTAAAAAGGGATTATGCTCACTCTGCTCGCTAATTATATAGGGATTTTACGGCCTTTTTTAGTTATAGTTATTGTTAGTTATTTAGTTAGATATCTATATATAGATATAGGAGTAAAATAAAAATATCATGGTAAAAACCATAGAAAAAGAAATAGTAGGCAAAATTAAAACCCGCCAAATTAAAAAAGATAAAAACGGATTAGAGTATTTACTATTGCGACTAACTACTAATGAGAGCATTTTTGTCTTTCCGCAAAATCACCTCTGACAAAAGCGGTGAAAGGATTTACAAGTAGGGGTTAATTATAATTTTACTGTCCATGAAGTAGAAATGGGGCATCTGATTTTGAAGGATTTTTATTTTTTATAAAACTAGTAAATAGTTTTATATTTTTAATAGGGGCTATTAAATTAGGAGAAATAAGATTAGTTATAAATTTAGTTAGTTAGATATCTATATAAAATTAGAACTAAAACTCTCTTTTTTGAAACTGGCTGATGGGTGCGGGTTTATTTTCTTTTTTCTCCCTTGTATAGGGAGTTTTTACTGCTACTAGAAGCACCAAAAATAGTATTTTTTAAGATTATTAAATATTACAAATATTTAAACTGTGGCGGGCAATTGAAGGGTAAAAATTAGCCAAAAATGAGGAAGTCAAGGCGTAAGGTGCGCGCTACCCTCGCACGGGCGTGCCTATCTAATGGGTCGAGGTCCATGCGTAGGCGTAGTATCACGAATAGCGCGCATGAGGAAAGCAAAAAAAAGTAAGCAGAAATTCCAACCCTAATTAATCTTAAAAGCAGGGATTATTTTTTCTCTTCAATAATTATAAAGAATTTTGGTAAAAAATTTATGATTATTAATGCGGCCGCACCGAGAGCATTCAATCTACGACCGCATATTTAATATTTTAGATTATCTTCATGGTTCAGTAATTATAAGGAATTTTGTGGCCAAAATAATATATAGCTAGAATTATATATATAGAATTATAGAGTTATTATTTGCGACTAGCAATTTTCTCGTAGCGAGGTTCAGCAGTAATTATCCCTACTTGAAAAGGAGAAAATAATTTACTGGCATAAGTTAATAACCTATCTAGGGTGAATTTATGAATATGACTCAGTAATATTTCCTTAGTTTCAGGTGGACTTAGACTAATACGCTCGGCCAATTCCTCTGCTGTTAAATTATTATCTTGTTTATAAGTTAATATTTTCTGACAAAGTTCATATTTAATCTTCTCCAAAGGAGTAGCATCGGCCGGCAACAAAAAATTCCCCTCATGATCAGAATGTCTCATTTTGGCTAATATTTCCCCATGACGAGGTGGATATTGATAACTTTTATTTAACTGCTTATTATTTTTTACCATATTAATGTTCTTTATCGTATTTACTGCGACGATAGCAACTTAATATTCCTACAAAGTTGACACCATCTTTCAAGCATCAGGGCATTTCATAGGCTCGTCAATCATCCAAAAATAGAGGATAGGCTGAATAATATTCTCATTCGCTATCTCTATCTTCTGGCTCTCACCTTTCTTTTTTAGTTAATTCTCAGGCTAAATTATAAATTTTTTCATCTGTCATATAACTTCCGTGCTCCTTCTCATAATGAGGGTCAATGTGGATTTCTATTATTTTTCTTTTGTTAATGATCACTCGGAATTCATAAACTCGGCGACCTTCATCCGTTGTATAAAGAAGGGGAGGTAATTTGATAATCATCTTTAATAATTATTTTATTGTGCGATGTTTTTCGTAGCATTCTAAGGCTTTTTCTAAAACTTCTACTAATAAGCAATCTTCTTCGGCCGCAAGAATTTTTAATTTTTTAGCAAATTCAGGTTTTACTCGCAATCCTAATTGTTTGGTCCGGCCGGTAAAACGACTATCAGAGGGAGTTAGTTCAGGTTTACTAATATTTTCACTGGCTTCTTGGGGTGCCTGGCCTAGTCCTTTACGTTTGATTTTGGATTTTCAGTTCATAATATAGTTAGAATTATAGAATTATATATATAGATTTATAGATTATAAGCAATTTAGAATTTCATTTACTAACTGACGGGCTTGTTTTTGGAGGGATTTATAAGAGACTTCAGTAATAGATTTGCCTTCGTTTTGGATTTGTTTGTAGGAGGTTTTTTCAGGCAGGTAATTAGTAGTATAAGAATAGTTGGTATCTCTTAAATATTCTTTTATGGCTTCGGCTTCTTTGAGGGTGGAGAGGCGAGTGAGAGCAAATAATAACTTTTTTGGAGGAATTCCTGCTTTTTTGAGGGCGTTAAATTCTTTGACTGCTGGCATTAGATCGTCATTGCTGGCTCCGACTGGTTGAATTATCAGATCAGAAT